CCGGGCCCAACCTTGGGGACTGAGTCATTCCAAAGCCACTGCTGCCGGAAACACGCCCTGAGCCACAGGAGTCCCGTGGGCGCGGCCCGGACCTCACTTCCTCGCGGTCACCTGGGGCCCTCTGGCCTCCTGGCCAGACCTGCACGTGCCAAGGGGTCTCCAGCCGCAATCCGCCTCCTTAGTGCGGATACAGCACGCGTCACCTTTGGGGCCGGGAATGGGTGGAAGCAGCTGGGGGTCTCCGGCCTAGACCAGCTCCCAAGGGAGATCACTACCCCCGCTGCGGGTGGATCACTTCGCATACGGAAAGGCAGCGGCGGCCAGCGACCCGTGCCTTCTGCAAGGGGCCCTCTCTATCCTTGCCTAGGGCCTGAATCTGGATACAGAAGGGGGCCAAGGGCGGACCCCTTCTATTCCCTCGCCTTCCTCCAGTCGGGGCTGCCCGGACGGGATGGTGCAGGAAGGGCAGCGTGGGGGCTCCTCAAGCTGCCCGCGCTCTCACATCTCCCGGGCGCTCCCCGCGTGCGTGCAACCCCCCGGGGCACAGGGTGCGGGCAACGCTGGATACCGCCACTCCGCCCTCCAGGGGACCCTCGTCCCTCTCTTCCCTTCCACCAGGGCAGGCTCCACCGCCTTGGGCGCGCCCAGGCCGCCGCTTCCCTCAGTCCCAGGCCGAGACGCCGCGTCCCTTTCCCCCGGCGATGCAGAGGGGCGGCCTCCGCATCTCCCGCCACCGCCTTCCCCAGCTACAGAGGCCGCCCGCGGCGCCGGCGCCCCGGCCTTCCCCGGGAGCGCGTACCTTGCTCTCGATCTGCTTCACCATCTTTGCTGCTGGGGTCTGAGGAGCGGCTGTAAGGACCGATGGAAACGGATCCAAAGCACCAAACCGAGCTTGAGTCGCCGCTTGCTCTCCCTTTATAAACGGGCACGCCCGGCGTGCGTGTGGCGGGGGCGCGCGCGCCCGCCCGGACCTCCGCGCCCGCCGCTGCGCCCCGGCCACGCCCCGCCCCTGGAGCCTGCGAGCCGGGATCGGGGCGGGGCTGGCGCAAGCGTGGGGCGGAGCTCCAGGGCTTCGGCTCCTGCGCCTCCAAGCCTAGCTCGCGCCCCAGCTGGAAGTGGGGATCAGCACTGCGCGTGACGGTGGGAGGCAGGGAGACGGACAGTCACCCCCAGAGACACAAGGTCTTTCCCAGGTCACCTGGGGATGCGTCCGCCGCGCCTGAATCGAACGCGCCCACGCTCGAGATGGGGACAGTCCTGGGACCGCCCAGGCAGGGCTGGATTCCTCGAAAAGTCCCGCCACGCCCTGGCCACCCCCAGCCCCGTGAACCTCACAAAGTGCTGAGTAACGGTGACCAGGAAGTTTCTCGGTGTGTACGTCCTTGCCTCCTCTCCAGAATTTACCGTGACCGTTCTTTTCTCTAACCTCCTTCTGTTCTTTCATTTTCACTGCTGAACCCGCTGCTCCAGCTTGACACAGCGGTTTAGTGAGGTAGAAACGACCGGGGGACTGGTTGGGCTCTTGACCATCAAAGCTGCCTGTGAGATGGAAGTGCCGCCGGATTGAGCTCTGCAGCTTAGTTACGCAGTTGTGACCCTAGAAAGGTCCTGACCTCCTAGAGTCTCAGTGTTCCCTTCTGTAGAACGCGAATCATGATGGTCTCAATCTCACGGTGGTGTTATTTTGAGGGTTAATAGTGCTTGCAAAGTGATCAGGACCGTGCTTGGCACATAGTAAACACTCCATAGATAGTTCTTATTCGGTGTCTTGCGGGGACTGATTGGGCCTGGCCATCTTATACAGCATTTACAGTGGGACAGCACGCAAATTTGTGTGAGTTTTTTCAAAGGAGGCAGACTCCTGGAACAGAAGTCGGAGTTTGCATTGATCCAGGAATGCCTGTTGCAGGTTATGTCTGGCAGGGCTGGGGATTGTGGAAGGTGGGTATGTTAGCTGACCTTGTGGCGCCAGGAAGGCCTGTCAGCGGCTCAAAGTGGAGGTTGAAAAGCTGCTCACAGGAACGAGAGCCGGAAGGCTGGGAGGGAGAGTCCCAGGTCTGTATTTTCAGAGCTGAGCTGTTCCCAATGAAGCTGCAACTAGGTGTGATTGCCTAGGGGTGGTGAAATTGCTGCCTGCCTGCCCCCTAGAACCCCTGGCTTCCTTCTTTTGCTCTTTCAGACAGAAGAAGGGAGGAAACCAGAGGTTTTGAACCTATTGTGCAAAGTTTCTAGGGGGCTGAGGAGCACGGAGCATGAATATGGATATAGGCAAGGGACACATTCTAAAGACAGCCCTAGAGGGAGGGAAGACAGACTGCCCTGAATGCAGCAACGTTCCCAAAGAGAGGGAGGTTATTGGGGCAGAGAGGAAGGAGCTGTATGGAGCACCCATAGCAGAATCTATAACCTGCTTTTCTGCTGCTGGTTTTCAGTTCAGCTGCATCCTAGCTTCCTGGCCTTTATCTGTTTGTTGGTGAATTTGCATAGGTGATGACAACAAATCATTGAGTTACAGGAAGGGGCAATGCAGGCCATCCTCAATGTTCAGTGACTCAGTGAAGGAGGTACTCCCTCTCCCTAACCTCCACAGAACCAACGCAGAGTAGATGTGGAGGATGGTACAGTTATAAGGAACTGGGAGGCCAGAGTATGTGTTAAGAGTCTGGACTCTGCAATTTGACTCCCTTGTCCTCATCCCTTCATGACTGGGTAATTCTAGGCAAGTCTAAATAGCCTTTTTGTGCGTCAGTTTCCTTATCTGAGAAGTGGGCATAATAATAGCTTGTGCTATTATAAGGGTTGAGTGAACTAAAATGTATGTAAAATGCTTAGAACTGTGCCTGGTGTGTAGTGAATGCTACATGAACTATGATTATAGGCTATTAAATGAATGATGAGATCCATCTGGAATGATGGCAGAGCTAGGGTGGAAAGAGAGACAATAACAGGTGTCAGTCTTAAACGAATTAAGTAATGAAGACAGTAGTAATGAACAGTGGGCTCTGTAACATGAGCCTCAAAGGAAAAGGGCTTTTTTTTCCCTGCAAGGAAGAGAGAGAAGTGGGCTGGATCTGGTCCCAAGGAGCAGGTTCCCTGCAGTTGTGGCAAGGAGGTGATGTTCTTTGAGAAGAGTGAGGTACAGGGGAATTATTTGGGACTGCCCAGAGAGGAAGGGTTCATTTGTGCAGAGAAATGTAGAGGCTCTGTGTATTAGTTAGAATTTTCAGTTGCAAGGAGAAATTCTAGCTTAAACTGACGTAAAGCAAAAAGAGAATTAGTAACTCATTACCAAGAACCCCAGGGGCCTAACAGTGTCACAGGGCACCATCTCTCTAGTTTCATTCTCAAGTAGGCACTCTATGTAAGAGTGAAGTAGGCAGCTCCAGACTTAGGTTCCTAGTAGTTTAGTATCTCTGCAGGAAGAGTGTTCCTCTTTCTTGTTCTTGTAAATGTCTGAGAGGCTGACCTTCACTTTCATGGTGGGAAAAGGGATTAGCCTTGATTGAAACTTTGGACTAAGAGTAGGGAAAATCCAGGTGGTTACCAGAAAAATAAGAGACTGCTGCCGGACCAGCAAAAATGATGTTTTCATGTCACCCAAAAGGGCAGAAACATGTAACAAGGGTGATGGACTGACTTCAGGCCTGGGTCAGCTGAGTCCAGCCTCCACATGGGACTGGAGAACTAGGTCAGCTGTCTTTGTTTGGGTCTCAACTCAAATTTGAAGAAAATGCAGTTGTAGGATTTCTGAAACAAGTTTTTCTCACATCCCAGGTGTCTCTGAGTGGTCTTAACCACCTAATTCATCATAGCCAGAGGTGCTCAATGATACTGCACATTCCTGGACCACACCCAGACAGACATACAGAATCAGGTTTTTAAGGTAGGGCCTTGTAATCTGCATATTTATTTATTTATTTATTTATTTTCTTTTTCTTTTTTTTGTGTTCTAGGGTACATGTGCACAACGTGCAGGTTTGTTACATGTGTATACATGTGCCATGCTGGTGTGCTGCACCCATTAATACTCGTCATTTACATTAGGTATATCTCCTAATGCTATCCCTCCCACCTCCCCCCACCCCACAACAGGCCCTGGTGTGTGATGTTCCCCTTCCTGTGTCCAAGTGATCTCATTGTTCAATTCCCACCTATGAGTGAGAACATGCGGTGTTTGGTTTTCTGTTCTTGGGATAGTTTGCTGAAAATGATGGTTTCCAACTGCATCCATGTCCCTACAAAGGACACGAACTCATCCTTTTTTATGGCTGCATAGTATTCCATGGTGTATATGTGCCACATTTTCTTAATCCAGTCTGTCATTGATGGACATATGGGTTGGTTCCAAGTCTTTGCTATTGTGAATAGTGCCGCAATAAACATACGTGTGCATGTGTCTTTATAGCAGCATGGTAATCTGCATTTTTAAAAGCATCTCAGGTGATTGGGTACACTAAGATTTGATGAGCTTTGCCATGGGATCTTCAGAGGGAGGCCAGCATTAGTTAAGCTTCAAGACTGTGTCTAGCAAGAGAGTTGAGATGGGGACTCAAAATTTTGAGAATGTGTTAAGTGACATAAAATCAGGAGCTGTAAGTACTACAGTAAAAAAAAAAAAAAAAAAAAAAAAAGTGGTAGAAGGAAAAGGAACAAATTAACCTGGGTGGGACAATCATTAAATGCCAAGCCTAGAGCTGGGTGTGTCATATCATTCCTCTCAATATCCCTTAGGAGATAGACATTATTTTTCCTATTTCACAGAGAAGGAAATTGAGATTCAAAGAAGTCACCTAGTCATATCCAGTGTTCACTAATTCTTATACTCTGTCCATGAAGGGGAAGTATCAGCACAGTTTTCAAGCCCATCTGCATGTATTAAGTGCCCCTCATTTCACCGGTGAAAAATATCTAACATCCCTTATGCTAATGTGCTGTATATTACATCAAATGTTAACTATTTAGATTGTAAAAATTAATTTACACACAAATATATATCACACTTTTCATTGCCAAGTATTTTAATGTAAATTTCAGATAATATAATAACCCCTGTGGATAACCTACCCTGCTCCTTTTAGCCCTTAATCTGCTCCAGTGGTCACCCTCACTGCCCCGTTGAGCCCTTTCTCCATGTAGCATGGAACCATCTGGATTCAGCAAGCACCACTGTATTCCCAGATATTTCTTTTAACCACAAGTTTTGCCCCCTCACTGTATATCATTGTATGACATACAATGTTCCATGTACGTCACGGCCAGGCAGTGAGGCAAGTGCTTCCCATTGCTGCGTCCAGATTCTTTCTCCTTCCAAAATCCCATGGATTTTTAGAAAGAAAAAAAAAAATTGTTTTCAAAAGAAAAAGGAATTTGACCTTTACACCATACCATAAAATTACTTAAAATTTACCAAGGAACTACTGGAAGAAGACATTAGAGAGAATCTTTGCAACCTTGCAGTAGGCAAATATTTCTTAGGCAGAACACAGAAATCACTAGCTATAAATGAAAAAGTTAATAAATTTGGCTTCTCACAACACACACACACACACACAAATATGCGAGGTGATGCATATGTTAATTAGCTTGATTTAGTGATTCCACATTGTATACATATATCAAAATATGTTGTACACCATCACTATGTACACGTTTCACTTGTCAATTAAAAAATAATTTTAAAAAATTGGGGAAGCTAGCAGTCTTGCATCCCCTGTGAAGGGATATATGCTCTAGTAGGTGGATTTTACTTTATATTAAGTATTGTTACAAGTAGTTAGATAGGCATGAGTGAGGCAGGAGAGGGCTCTCCACCCACCCACTAGGAATGTCAGGTGATGGCTGGACAATTATCTCACCACCTCTCTAAAAATGATAATGTGGTAGCCTACCCAGAGCACCAGGGAGGTGATCCACAGCTGTTAACATTAAAGTGTTAAATGAATCCAGATGCCAGGGAGAAGAAACTGCCTGGGCATGTACACTAAGAGACAAAATGGCAAAATATGACATTCCAGGCAGACTCCTCTGGAAAAAGGGAAGAAAGTTTCAGATGGGCATGCATATGACTTCCTAAAAGCACAGTGCATGCTCAATTCCCAAGGGTAAGGGGGCAGGCACTCCGCAGGCAGGCAGCCTACCCTGAGGGAAGAATCATGGGAAAGAGGCAAGCCTATAAAGTCCTGAGATCAAGTCGGATTCTTCTGAGGTGGCAAGGACGAAGTTGCTGCAGATGTGTACAGATTCGCTGCTGATGACTCAGGGTAACTTGGATCTCTTCCACTGGTAACAGAATCATCTAAAGAAAATAAAAATAAATAGAATAAATTATAAAAACTAAAAATCTCTGCTCTTTGAAAACCATTGCTTAAAAATAAATGAAAATGAATAAATAAATGTCTCCCAGTCTGTGACTGGGAGAAAGTATGCTCAATACGTACATCTAACAAAGGACCTACATTGAGAATGTATAGGGATCTGTTACAACTCGATAATGGGAAGACAACCAGTAAAAACATGGCAATGGATTTGAACACATACTTCATAAAAAAATATATATCGCGAGGCCGAGGCAGGAGAATTGCTTGAATGCGGAAGGCGGAGGTTACAGTGAGCTGAGATGGTGCCACTGCACTCCAGCCTGGGTCTCTGTCTCAAAAGAAAGAGAAGATTTCTAAACGACCAGTAAGCACATAAACAGATGGATTGCTCAACATCGGTGGTCATCAGCAAAATTCAAATGAAAACCATAATAAGATACCACTATGCAACCTCCAGGCTGGTAAAATTAAAAAAAAAAAAAAAAAAGAAAAGAAAACACACACAGACACTACAAAATGCTGGCAAGATTGTGGACTACTTGGAAATAATTCATACTTTACTGGTAGGATTATAAAATTGTACACCCACTTTGAAAAACAGTTTGACAAATTTTGTTTTTTGTTTTTGTTTTTAGTGAAATTAAACACACATTTACCATATGACCTAGTAATTCCACTTCTAGGCATTTCCCCTCCAAAAATTAAAACACATGTACACAAGGACTTGCATATGAATGTTGGTAGCAGCTTTATTCATAATACTTCTAAACTAAAAACAACCCAAATGTCACCAACAGGTGAAATAATAATAGATGTGATATGTCCATACAATAGAATACTTCTCAGCAACAAAAAGGAACAAAATGCTTATATACACAATAACATGAGTAAATATAAAAATCACTGCTGAGTGGAAGAAGCCAGACACTAAAGATTGTATGAACTCATTCATATGAAGTTCTAGAACAGGTAAGTCTATAGTGACAGAAAGTAAATCAATGGTTTCTTGGTGTTGGGGTGGGCGGATTGCAGAAAGACACGGGAAACTTTTTAGTGATTACATAGGTCTGTACATTTTCTACACCTAAGGAAAAATGCACTAAAAAGAGGTATATTTTTTTATGGATACAAATAATACCCTCAATAAAGTTTATTTAAACTGAAAAAATGTGGTCTTTGAATAACCCTGTCTAGGCACAAAAACCATCCATAAAGACAAAGACATATATAAGGCAACAAGGATAAGTTGAAACAATTCAGCAGAGCTCTGACATGGGCCACAAAAATTCTAAGCATGGCTAACTGAAAGTGCATGCAAAAGTTGATAAGCCTTTTCTAGCAATGGTAACCTTCAAATAAGATACAGATGTTAAACACAGACAAGCTAATTGGGTGATCTGCCAAACTTACCTTAAATGCTGAGATGTGGAGAGCCATTGAGGGAAGCATAAAAATAAAAAGAACTTGGTGTCCTCTTTACAAATGAGACGTAGCCATTCACATAATGCTTCAAGAGCTACACATAACTAAGAAAGGTAGGGTCAGAATCCTCCTTATATGCTAGGATCAGGTAAAATACAGGGACGTCTGCTCTCATTACTTATACTCAATGTTGTACTACAACTTCTCAAAAGAGCAACTGGGCAAGAAAAATAAGGGAATCCTGGCGGGGCGCATTGGCTCACGCCTGTAATCCTAGCACTTTGGGAGGCCGAGGTGGTTGTATCACTTGAAGCCAGGAGTTTGAGACTAGCCTGGCCAACATGGTGAAACCCCGTCTCTGCCTAGCCACGCTTGGTGGCTCGCGCCTGTAGTCCCAGCTACTCAAGAGGCTGAGGCACGAGAATTGCTTGAACTGGGGAGGTGGGAGGTGGAGGTTGTAGTCAGCCAAGATTTGGCTTCACTGCACTCCAGACTGGGCGTGTCTAAAAAGAAAAAAATAAAATCCGATTAAAAAAAGAAATAAAAAGAATCCAGATTGGAAAAGTAGAAGCAAAACTGTCTCTAGTTGCAGATGACATGAGTGAAAGAAGCCAGACACTAAGGATTAAATGAATTCATTTATATGAAGTTCTAGAACAGGTAATCCTATAGTGACAGAAAGTAAATCAATGGTTTCCTGGTGTATATAGAAGATCTTAAGAAACTTGAAAACTATTAGAACTAATATGTTCAGCAAGGATGCAGGATATAAACTCAGAATGAAAGAATGAATCGTTTTGGTAGAAATTTAATAAAAGAAGTACAAGACTTGTACAGCAAAAGCTATAAAATGTTGTTGAAAGAAATAGAGTTCCTGGGCACAGTGGCTCACGCCTGCAATCCTAGCTTTTTGGGAGGCTGAGGAGAGTAGATTGCTTGAGCTCAGGAGTTTGAGACCAGCCTGAGCAACATGGTGAAACCCTGTCTCTACAAAAGCCTACAAAAATTAGCCGAGGCTGCCGGGCGCGGTGGCTCAAGCCTGTAATCCCAGCACTTTGGGAGGCCGAGACGGGCGGATCACGAGGTCAGGAGATCGAGACCATCCTGGCTAACACGGTGAAACCCCGTCTCTACTAAAAAATACAAAAAACTAGCCGGGCGAGGTGGCGGGCGCCTGTAGTCCCAGCTACTTGGGAGGCTGAGGCAGGAGAATGGCGTAAACCCGGGAGGCGGAGCTTGCAGTGAGCCGAGATCACGCCACTGCACTCCAGCCTGGGTGACAGAGCCAGACTCCGTCTCAAAAAAAAAAAAAAAAAAAAAAAAAAAAAAATTAGCCGAGGGCAGGCGCGTGGCTCATTCCTGTAATTCTAGCACTTTGGGAGGCCAAGGCGGGTGGATTGTCTGAGCTCAGGAGTTCGAGACCAGCCTGGGCAAAATGGTGAAACCCTATCTCTATTAAAATAAAAAAAATTAGCTGGGCGTGGTGTTGTGCATCTGTAGTCCCAGCTACTCAGGAAGCTGAGGTAGGAGAATTGCTTGAACCAGGGAGGTGGAGGTTGCAGTGAGCCAAGATTGCGCCACTGCACTCCAGCCTGGGCGACAGAGCAAGACTCTCAGACTCTGTCTCAAAAAAAAAAAAAAAAAAAGAAAAACATTAGCCAAGCATGGTAGTGGGTGCCTGAAGTCCCAGTTGCTAGGGAGGCAGAGGTTGCAGTGAGCCAAGATTGCACCACCGCACTCCAGCCTGGGACCCTGTGAGAGTGAGACCTTGTTTAATAAAAAAAAAGAAATTAAAGAGTTAAATAAATGAAAATATATCTCATGTTTATGGACTGGAAGACAATATTGTTAAGATGGCATTACTCTCCAAATTGACTTACAGATTCAACATAATTCTTATCAAAATCCCAGGTGCTTTTTTTTTTTTTTTGCTGAAGTTAACAAGTTGATTCTAAAATTTATATGGAAATGTAAGGGACACAGAATAGCCAAAAACAATCTTGAAGAAGAACGAAGTTGAAGAATTTATACTTCTTGATTTCAACACTTATTACAAAGCTACAGTAATGAAAACAGTATAGTATTAATGCACAACTATTATGTATCCATAAAAATAAAAAGAAACCAAACAACAAAACATAAACCACAGTATGGTACTAGCATAAGACAGACATAATAGAATTGAGAGTCCAGAAATAAACCCATAAATCTGTAGTCAATTGACCTTAACAAAGGTACAACATCATTCAGTAGGGAAAGCAGAGTCTTTTTCAGCAGGTGGTGCTGGGACAACTGTACATACACATGCAAGAGAATGAAATTGAGTCCTGCCTCACACCAGTAACAGAAATTAACTCAAAATGGATTAAAGACCTAAAACTAAAACTTTTTAAAAGGAAATACAGGTGTAAATTTTTATGACCTTGGATTAGGCAGTGATTTCTTAGATATGACACCAAAAGAACAACCATATAAAAAAATAGAATTCTTCAAAATAAAAAAAAATTGTGTTTCAAAAGACACCATCAAGAAAATAAAAAGATTGTTTCTGCTGCAGAAAAGTAAAAAAAGGAGTGGGCGCCGTGGCTTATGCCTGTAATCCCAGCACTCTGGGAGGCTGAGGCAGGCAGATCACGAGGTCATGAGTTCAAGACCAGCCTGGCTAATATAGTGAAACCCTGTCTCTACTAAAAATACAAAAATTATCTGGGTATGGTGATGTGCGCCTGTAGTCCTAGCTACTTGGGAGACTGAGGCAGGAGAATTGCTTGAACCTGGTAGGCGGAGGTTGTGGTGAGCTGAGATTGCACCACTGTACTCCAGTCTGGGCAACAGAGTGAGACTCCACCTCAAAAACAAAAACAAAAAAAAGAAAATGAAAAAATACCCACGGTGTGGGAGAACATATTTGTAAGTCATATCTGATAAGGGACTTGCATCTAGAATACATAGAGAACTCTTACGATTTAACAATAAAAAGATAACCCATCTTAAAAATGGGCAAAGGATTTGAATAGACATTTATCCAAAGAAGATATACAAATGGACAATAAGCACATGAAAATAAGGTCAACATTAATCATTAGGAAAATGCAAATAAAAACTACAGTGAGATCCTGTACATGTACCCTGGAACTTAAAAGTTGAAGGAAAGAAAAAAAAAATACAATGAGATATTTTGCACTCACTAAGATGGCTATAATAAAAAATACAGACTATAGCAAGTATCGGTAAGGACCTGGAGAAATTAGAGCTCTCGTGCATTGCTAGTGGGAATGAAGAATGGTGCAGCTCTGTGGAAAAGAGTTTATGGTTCCTCAATAAGTTAAACACAGTTACCATGTGATCTAACAATTCTGTTCATAGGTATATATCCAACAAAGTTGAACACACGTACACACAAACACTTGCATGTGAGTGTTCATAGGAGCATCATTCTTAACAGCCTTGATAGAAACAACCCAAATGTTTATTAACTAATGAATGGATAACAAAAGGTCATATATTTATATGATGGAATATTATTCAGCCATAAAGTGGAATAAAGTTCCGACATGTGCCACGACATGATGAACCACACAGAAAAGGCCACATTTGTATGAAATGTCCAGAACAGGCAAATCCAGAGAGTCAGTAAATACATTAGTGGTCCAGAAACCTGGGGACGTGAGAATGGGTAGTGACTAGTAATGGTATGGTAGCAGATTCTTTTTGAAGCCTTGAAAATATTCTAGAATTGGGCCGGGTGCTCCCGTAATCCCAGCACTTTGGGAGTGCTCACGCCTGTAATCTAAGCACTCTGGGAGGCCAAGGCGGGCAGATCACAAGGTCAGGAGTTCGAGACCAGCCTGACCAACATGGTGAAACCCCGTCTCTACTAAAAATACAAAAATCAGCCCGGCTAAAAATACAAAAATTACTAAAATACAAAAATACTAAAACTACAAAAAATTAGCCGGGCATGGTGGCACACGCCTGTAATCCCAGCTACTCGGGAGGCTGGGGCAGGAGAATTGCTTGAACCAGGGAGGCAGAGGTTGCATGGAGCTGAGATCGCGCCACTACACTCCAGCCTGGGCAACAAGGCGAGACTCCATCTCAAAAAAAAAAAAAAAAAAAAAAAAAAAAAAAAATCCTAGAATTGGATAGTGGTGATAGTTGCATAACTTTGGGAATATGCTAAAACCTACTGAACTGTTAAAAATAAGGATAAGGATATCTATTCTGCCTTTACCAAATAATCTAATGTAAATAAATATGCTTTGCAAATAGTGATGAAAAAGGGAGAGAAAGAGAGAAGAGAAAAGGAAAAGGAAAAAGAAAGAGAAACCTTTCCCATGGAAGCCAGGTGAGACCAGTTCCTTGTAATCATACTTTGGAAACCTTATCACTCCTAAAGGAATGAATACCGGAAGAATATCTTTGCCCAATACCATTAACAACTGGTCTAAAGCCAAGAGACAGCCTGGCTCTGGTCGGGGGACAACTTCCTTATCTATGTCTATTAACCAGTAAATGTATATTTCTAATCTGCTCCTTACCCATATGGGTGTTGGTGTTCTGAATCATTGTGTGGCACTCTATGAACAATGCAACCGTGCACAATTATTCTTATGAATAGACAAACTTTAAGGAAAAGAGACTGATCCCATAAAAGACTTTTTACATGATTGAATCTTTTAGACATGAAAATGTAAAAGTTCCATTGAAATGCATGGTTGTCAAGGATATCTAACCTTAGAACCATTCAAAAATCACTTGACTGCAAAAAAGTCATTAAATGCTCCAAGTACATTCAAAATTTTTCTTGTTAAAAATTTATTATTATTATTTTTTGAGACAGGGTTTTGCTGTGCTGCTCAGGCTGGAGTGCAGTGGTGCAATCTCGGCTCACTGCAACCTCTGCCTCCCAGGCTCAAGCAATCCTCCTACCTTAACCTCTAGAGTAGCTGGGACCACAGGGGCACATCACAGTGTCCGGATAAGTTTTGTATTTTTTGTAGAGATTGGATTTCACTATTTGTCCAGGCTGATCTCAAACTCCTGGGCTTAGGAAATCCTCCTGCCTTGGCCTCTTGAAATGCTGGGAATACAGGTGTGTGCCACCAAAACTGTGCCTGGCTATCTCAAAATTGTTCTTGATGTTGGCAACTTTGAGGGTACAGTCCAAGGTGGCATATGCCAAGATGTAACATGTTATCACTGGATTTTTATGTTGTATTGGCCTTGAGCTTTTATCATTGTAAATTGGTATGCTGATAAAGCATATGTTCTATCATAACCCTCCTCCTAAGGAAACAGGGCCAGTGCTTAAATAA